CCCCCCCCGCTGGGAGAACAAAGGCCTGGCAGAGGAAAGGGGGCTCTGGGGGGAGCACGGAGCGTCCCCCGGTGGGGTGGAATTAACTTGGGGAATGTAGGGCTTAGAATCTATGATCTGGGATGGGGTATCAAGGCTTGCTAAGAGCCGCACCAAAAACGCGTGATTCTGGGGGCCGAGTGTTCATCTGAGAAGAAGTAAAAATGGCCGCTGCTCGCTTGTGCGTTTAGTCGCAGGGCTTCCCGCGCACGAGTCTTGCACGCCCTTATCTCAAAGACCCAGTACAGCCACCGGTGGACCTCCCACAAAAGCTGCTGGCTTGGAGCCGCTGCGAGCAGGGTGGCTTCCCCACGGACGCCCCGCCCCTTAACCGTCCTCCTCAAAGAGATCAAGCAAAGGAGCGCTGTGGGTCCTTTGAACCCGCGGAGGCCTGGCCTGCTCTGGACCCGAGCAGATTGGTGAGTACAGCAATCGAAGGAGAGAAGGGGCTCTTCAAGTCACAAGAGCAAGAACGGCACATAAAGCGCGACTGAGGAAAGGACGCGCCGAGAGAATACTTCCACGAGAGGCTCGAGGGCTTGCTGAACCGGGCCTGGGATCCACAAAGGCCGCAGGCGGGGATTGGGCTGACCTGTTCATAATGCTCAGGAGTTCTCTTCCTAGAACTGTCCTTTTTCTGAGTTAATGATGGAAAAAGCCCGCTGCAAAAATATGCACCGTTATCCCCATATGTTGATGATGGAAAAGGCATGAAGGAAAAATAGGCACCAAGGAAGTCTAAATAACGTCTAAATACTGCAGAATGGTTCAGAAACAACGCTGTGAACTGCTAAATCTCTTCCACAAGCCCTTAGAAAGGCTCAGCTCGCCTGACGGTCGAACAAGGACAATAATTCCCAGGCCTGGAGAATCGGCACACGAGGACGCGCTCCGAGCAGGAGCTGTTGCTACCTGTGAGGGTTTCGCAGCCCTCGGCAGCCTTGCGCCAGCCAACTCGGACGTCCTCCTGCTCTGCTTAACGGGGCTTCCTGCCAGACGAGCTGATAGGTAGAGCAGCTCTGCCGAAATCAGCGGGATGACAGGCTCGAGTCCCACTGATTTCAAGAGGCCGGGTATGGCAGGACAGGCTCCAAGCCAAGTAAATACCGCGGGGAACGCCATCAGCCATGAAATAAGTGAGCGATGAAGGAGTTAAGTCCTACAGAACCACTCAACCCTGAGCTACAGATACTCTCTTCTATGGGAACTAGGTAGGGTGCCATGCGCTGCAGGAGGCGCGCACGTGGGAGGATTTGCTTGCAGGCCAGGCTTCGCCAAGGAACAACTGCTCTGTCTGGAGGAATGGCCACAGCAGCATGACCTGCCCACCAGTACAAGACACCTCCAATGAACTGCCGCCGGGTGGAAAATAGCTCAACGAATCAGCCCAAAAACGGTACGTCTGATGAAAATGGACGCTCGCCTTAAACGACGTAACATTTCTACCAGCACGCCACTGACAGCTCCAAGGAGCAAACCTCGACCCCAGAATACGTCATGATGCAGACAACCACCGTCAAGACTGCATCTCTGGAACAAACCGAAAAAAAGAAGAAACGAACTGCTCAAGATAAACCCGGCAGGCGGAGGTGTAACTGAACCCGAATGGGCGGTAAATGTCTCCAGCCTCTCGCTGTCCACCCCAGAACACAGCATCCTCCTGAAAGGACTCAACTACAGCGCAGAGAATGCACGCCAGCCCAAATTCTCTGCAGCCTCGGAAGCTGCATTCAACTGCCCAGAGTTGCTGAGAGTCAGGCGGCCTATAAATTTACTAAATTATGATTAGCATTATTATTAAACCACAGAGGCTCGAGAAAACATAAAGCAAACAATTGCACCGCAGACCAAAAAGAGACAGAAACACCTCAAAGCAGAAGAAAGAGCAGCCCCAAAACTCCGAAGAACGACCAAGCTACCGTATCACTGTCCTCCCAGCGGAGAACAGCCGAACCACGGTTATCGTGGGCACGCAGAAAGCCGAAGAACGACTGGGCAACAAAGAAGCCTACAACCCCATAATATCAACCCAATATGGAAACCGGAACCCTTAAGAACCTCGCCAAGAAAGGACGAGTGGCGAAAGAAGAAGTCACAGACGACCTTCCCTCCCACGCTTCTGTGGGTGCCCCAAAATTCACAAGTCCAACATACCACTTTGTCCAATCGCACCATTACCAGGGATCGGATCCCAACTTACAGTGTAGCCAAAGAACTCAACCCAAAATCGGGACATCCCATAAAGGGGAGAAAATTCACCACTAAGTGTCCCCAGAAAATCAAGCCCTAAGAATGGAAGAGGATGAAATTGTGATTTAATTTAAGGTCACAGCAACTGGAATTTCCATTGTTAACCAATGCATGATGTCACATGACTGCATCACTTAGTGATGGCAATCCCATTGCCATTGTTAATTGAGGATTGCGGGTCATTAAGCAAATACCTCCTTGCCACATCCCCCCAGCTTCCAACAAGCAAACTCAATGGGGTCCCATGTCCCGGGTGGTTTGCAAGCAGGCTGACGGGTGAGCAAGGGCTGCTGTGGCATGACGCAAGCACAGTGGGGCAAGGGTGGGGGGGTGGCACAAGCATGCCCAGGCTACAGAGTGCAGGTGGGAAGGGGTGCTCTGGGCACACATGTGCGCTACAGAGTACGAGATCCCGAGGATCTCATTCTTGGTAGCCGGGTTCCTTGGGAGAAAAAGCAGCAGGAGTGGAAGTGACTTACAGGAGCAACTTGTGACCTCCTCTGCCAGCTTCCTCATTGACTTTGCTTGTGGGAAGCTGACACGGAAGGTCGCAAATGGCCATCACATGACCGTGGGACTCTGCTACCGTCATAAGTGCAAGCTGATTGCCAAGCGCCTGGACGGCAATCACACAACCACGGAGGAGCTGGGATGGCCAGAACTTCAAGGACCAGTTATAAGTACCACTCATTCGGTGCTGTCATAACTTCAAATGGTCGCTGAACGAGTGGTTGTTAACCAAGGACTATCTATGTAAAATGCACCTAACCTAACCGAATACACAAAGATTGAAATACCCAAACTCATGGAACTCACTGACCTTTGCTTCACCAGCTGCTTTCAGCTTGATGGACAGTCACACCAACAGATCAGAGGAACACCTGCGGGGTCACCACTCTCAGGACTCATAGCCGAGACTGCAATGCGACATTGAGAAGCAGCAGCGCTTCCACACATACAACCAAAAATGCCGATCTGCTACAGTATGTGGATGACCCCTTGGTCATAATAAAAAGGGAGCAATTAAAGAAGACCTGTGGGACAACATCTTTAAAGGAATACAACTGGCCGGAGGAGAAGGAAACAAGACCCTTCCTGGACCTCCAGATCAGCAGAGGAAGCGATGGCAAACAGAGATCCGAGCATGTTGGAAAACAGCTCACGCCGACCAAGTGCTCCCTACTAAAGACAACCCAACTGCTCACAAGAGGAGCTGCGGAAGGACATTATTCAGACAAGCACAAACCCACCGCAGGAACCCAGAGCACCAAAAAGAGGACGGACTGCCCACACGACATCTTCCAACGCAATGGATATCCAGGCAGTGTTGTCAAAAAGTGCCTGACTAACCACCCTCCACAACACAACCAGGACAACCTAGGAAAAAGACCGTGGTCCCATACCTCAGAAGCGTCTCTGAGACAACCAACAGATGACTGCAATCGCTCGGCCTCACTGGAGCACACAAGCCCACAAAACCCGTCCAAAACTTCTTACGCAAATGGAAAGACCCCCTAACCAAGGCAGAAAAGACGCAGTACAGGAGCCACTACGTGGGGCAGGCAGGTGGAAGACCAGCAGGTCGCATCCGACCCCAGCCAGCAGTCCGGAGAACTGGCGGAAACTCCTTGGTCTCGTAAAACACGAGCACGCTCGGCTGCAGCTTCAGCTGGGAAGACACTAATCTTCTGGGCCAAGGACATCTGAAAAGGCTGGAGAACTCCCGGAAGCTGGGCATTCAGGCCCACTGGCCCTCTACAGACAGGCAGAGGCCATTTGCCACTTAAAAGGCAGAATCAAAAGAAGCTGGCAGCCCAGAGCAGGTCCCCCTCCAGCAGCCAACAGCCAGGCGGGCAGGGAGGAAGCAGCGCCCCAGTCGGGGAACATTGAGACTGGCCGGGCGAGCTGGGCGCATCAACAGCGAACAGAAGCCCCTCTCTCCTTGCCCTGGGGAGGCCGCTTCGCCTGGCAAACCTTTTTGTCTCTTTGCAGTTAAAAAAAAATGCCCGACGGGTCCTCTGTGCTTCTCTTGGGATCTGCATGTCCCGCGGAAGGGGCCGAGA